CCGAGCAGTTTAGTTGAGCAGCCCTGCTCCAACAGTAACAAAAAACATTTTATGCACCTTCAGTGGAAATCTGACACCTTGGCAATAACTTACAGGTAAATAGTCAAGATAAACAAGTCAAACTTATTAATGATTTATTGAAAAAGGTTCCTAAAACAAAAACGGCACATCTGTACAAGACAAACAGCACTGTGCAAAATTCTTAGGCCAATCTGCAAAACGTTTTTATTTTATTTTGCAGTGCAGTGCACCAATAAAATATCCCCATTCTAGACATTATACATTTATTTATTTATATATATATTACAGTAAAGTAATCTAAAAGAACACGTCGGGCAATAAATACAAAATGTTTGTTGTATCCAGACTTTGTCAACTGTTTATTTAAGGAAAGTGCTTCTTGGGCTGCTTCCACAGGACGAGCCGTTTTGAGGTGAGCAGGTGTGTGACCACACTGAGCAGCATTAAAAAGATCGTCATCGACATCACAATCACATAATGACTGATGCTGCAACAAAGAAAATTTAACTTCTTAATATCTGTGCCTCAAAGAATCCCCCAGGAAGTAGCACAACCACTGTAGGGAAGGACAGGGTGTGTATTTATGCGGTTGGTGATAAATTTAAGTTTTCCTGACGTAACTCACCTCGTGCCAATGTCCAACCAGCTCCCATAGTCTTGCACCATGAAGAAAAAATGCTGAGGAAGAGGAGCATGTTGAACAAATTATTATATGCGTCTCAGATAAATTCTATTTCAACAACGGAGAATTCTGGTAAAAAAATAAATCAATAAATAAATGGGAAAGATGATTGCAATGCACCTTTTAATTCAACATTAAACCTTTCAAACAGACAAAACGTCTTACCAGAGCCATGACATCAGAGATGACCAGGACAATGAGAAACAAACTGCAAAACAGGAAACAAAAGAACAAAATTTAAAATAAATTAAAAATGCAGGCGTGATCTAGGACTGGGCTTTGTAGAATCCTGTCGAGGTTGTTATGGACATGTGTGTTAAGGACATGCTTGGCTCTACATTGTGTAATATAATATAATAAGTTCACATCCATAACAGTTCTGCAGTGAGGTAGTAGTTTATCAGGGTCCAGGGTGGACAGGGGGCAACATGTTCATGAAGGGTTTGATCATGGATGATCTGAAGCAGGACTGGCCTAATGGCTTGGCTACAACCTTACTGTGTCCACAATGTACTCGTATAACTCCAAGTTATCACAAAGTTCCCACCAGCAGCTGCAATGATTAATATTGGTTCTCTGGATTAAACGATCCTTTATTCGTCCTCGGAATGCGAAACAAACTCATTCGTTCTCATCATGGTCAGGCCTGCTCGACAAGAATGGACGCAGGGTGGATGTGGTTGAGGTTTTGCTGAAAAATAAAGCCACCTGCATCCTCTCATGCTGCTGAAGAGTATTTCCTTTTCCACAACAAGGCTGAAACCATCAGCTTAGACTAGACCAGGGCTTTAAAAGCATAGACTTCTTCAAACCAAGGATTCAACCAATGAAACATTTCAATCTTTTTGGTTTTGTATTTTATACAAGCAGCATCCATTTCACAACATCTGCACAACCTGTGCATGACACACGTTCTGGCATTTTTAGTCAGTATCTTTTCTAAGTTGGAGGCATGCAGGTAAGGACCGAGGAGTTGCAGAAGAAGTTTCTCGTGTCGCTGCAGCAGCCGAGCGATGCTGCGTCATAATCGGGCTGGTGAAGGAGGCGTCTTTATCCCGCTAGTTTGGGTAAATTATTAAAAACGTTGTTGTATTTAAGGAAATTGTTGCAGTGACATGGTCACGAGTAGTGCAGATGTGATATTTGGGGTGGTAGCATCGTGCTAGCATGGCGTGAAGTTTTAGCTCATAGCTACATCCTGCTGCAGTCCTACAATCTATTCTTCCTAATATTTCCACCACAGAGAGAAATTGTTCGCACTGGTGAACACAAAGATAATTAAACCACATGCGTGACGAGAAGGGAGGGGGGAATCTCAGGAAACGGTACAGTCAGACTTTTGTTTCACTTCCACCTCAGTGTCTGACTCTTTTCCTCTCACAACTCAAACGGGTTAACGAGAAATTCAAACCTTTACTTCTCAACGTCAAAGTCGATAAATCAATTTGCGAACTCTAAACTATGAATATGACGCCTTGTTTTATTTTTTAAAGAATCGTCTTCATTGTACATCAACAATGAACAAACTTCCTCTCAACCTGGCAAATTTCTGACAATTGTTCAGTTTTAAATAAATGCACGACGGGCTCTTCTCCCCTCAACACGTAGCTGCAGGAGGCAGGAAAGAGCTGTGCAGCTTCACTGAGGTGTCTGCATGGTCCTAGTGCCGGACATTTCTGTTTGAACTGCTGCCACACAAACCATTTAAAGTGCATTCAATAATAAATTCACCAAACGTCACGAGACGGGGAGTTTTGGAAGGGTGTGAGACAGTTTTCAACTAGATGAGCAATCGCATGACTTTTTAATCTTGGAGGACTTCTCTAGTTTAGATAAGATCGTTGTGGGAACATGCTGCTGATGGATAGAGCTTGGTGAGGATGCAGAAATTAAAAGGGGCTGAGCAGAAACATAACTGCCGTGTCGTGATCTAACTAAATTCAAACAGGTAGCTTAGATCAATTACTCAATCATCAGATCACAAAATTGATCCAATGAGCTCAATACATTTTTACAGACGATTTATTTTATTGTTAGAAGTAAAAAAAAAAAAAAAAAATACCTTCTTGACGAGAGCTGAGTTGCGACTTGAATGGTCTCAAACGTGCACATTACTATGATGAATGGAATGATAACCTGCAGGAACAAAAAATAATCTTAAGATGTATTTATCAGTTATCTGAAAATATTTTGGTTGTAAATTATGATCAGGCATTAATAAAACAGTAGAGCTATAAACGTTGAATTGGTCTTTAAGGTCAGATAAAAACAGAAAGAAGTGAAAAAAATAGGTCAAAAATAGGTCAAGAGAAATAAAATGTTTGTTTTTGTTTTTCAAGCATGTGTATTTAAGACAGATAATATAGCATGGGTGTGTTTTAATTTAAAGTAAATTATGAAAGTACCGTACCTTCCACATCATGAGCCCTCCCATAATGAAGGGGTTGAAAACGGTGAGGAAGCAATAAACAGAGGCCGGGTCAAAGCTAGATAAAAGCAGACAAAAAGGGGAACAAGAAAGAACCGACAAAAACCAAACATGATTGTTCAACTCTTGAGAGGAAAATCTGCCCCTGAAATGGCGCACAATAAACTTTATTTGGTAGAAACCAAACCTTTAAATAAGACAAAACACAAGAAACCAGCTTGTTTAAACAGTGAAAACTTGCTCTTTCCACTTATTTCCACTTTATTCGCCAGCTTCCTGTATTCTAATGACAGATGGCTTTTAATTTAAAAGAGCACAACACTTCACCAAAACCACTTCAACTTCCTCATTTACACTACAACTATAGTACACAGCCCTTCCTACGTGTATTCAGATATACATGACATAAACACGCATTAACATACCCGTTAATGGATGCTATGTTCCCTGTGCCAAAGAAAGCCGTTACAATGAAAAAGACCTGGAATACAATTGACAGTTAGGGAAAACTTAAAGGAATATTAAAATTGTTATTATTTTGGGGGGGATGGTTGGGTAACCTTTCTGAAAATTCATATAAAAGGATACAAAAAAATATGATCTCCGGACATCGTCCAGCCTCAGTTGTCGAATTCTGGAGATGTCGACGCTTGCCGAGAAATCTATAGTGGAGAGCTGAAAAGAAAGATAAATAAATAACATAATAATAGTCTGAAAACGCTTTCCAATATATCGAGACTTATCAAGAATGTATAGCTGTTTTCTAAAATTAATATTATTTTCAAAGTTTGTGTGTTTAAGTGTTTCGTATTTAAATGAGTAGATTAGAAAACTATGGGATATGTAAAATATTACAGTATATAATGCTTAACATTTGCAGTTTTACATATCATCACCTGGCAAAAATGTTTTGCCTGTGTCTGTGCGTTTGTTTGCACCATAAGCAATATATTTTGTGAACCAATGAACGGCCACTGCTAAGCAACATTATCAAACATAAAAACAGTTTTGACTCAGCTAACTTTACAAACACTGAGCTGAGATTAGATGTGGTAGTAGTAGATGGTCATACCTATGACAAGCTATGAGCACAATCACGTCTTAAAATGTCACGTGAAATGGCGCTTCATATACAGTAGTCCCTCGATACTTTGCGGTTTGACTTTTGCGGACTCACTCTTTCGCGGCTTTTCATCGTGACTGTAGGCCTGTCGTGATAAACGATAAATCCATTAATCGCATGATGAATGAAAATTACCGACCTCATTTTTATTTATCGGCTTTAATCGTTTCTTCGTGTCTCTCTCTTTCTACTGAAGACACTGGATGACAAAAAGCTCAACTCTGGTGATCTTCACTGACCCCTCCCTTTCTCTTTTCTCTTTAAAATCCATTTAAACCGTCCAAAATCACATTTTTGGATTGTTAAAAGAAGCTAAGCTACGAGCTAAGCTAACAGGCCGACCTCGCGGAAAAAAACCTCCGTCTTGTCGAAGCTCCAAAATTCACAGTTGAAACCCGTGCCTTTATGTAAAAAGTTGTTTTCTCTGCAAAAAGAAGCTGAGAACTTGTTTACTGATTTTTTTATTAAAAGCTTTACTAAAGAGCTCAAACCACACGGAGCGTCTGCCATTTTGAGAACCGAAAGACAAGAATGAGAGACAGCCCATGTCATGTCAAGTGGCCTCCCTCCCATTTTTCTTGGAGACACGCTGCTCGCTCCTTCACTAACCATCCTTCAGTTCAAACAATCTTATACTGCCATCCAGTGGTCAAAAAAGGTAGTACACACAAATTAACCAACATTTCATTTTAAATTTGACAATTAATAATTATTGTCAAATTTCCAACAATATTATAATTTATCGCAATAATTTCTGAGACAATCGCCCATCAAAATTTGTTATTGTTACAGGCCTACGTGATTGTACACAATAGGGGTTGTAAGCTCAGTCATCCAGGTAGATAATAATTTTAAAAAAGGTTTAATCATGTCATCTGGATCAGTTTCTTTAAGTGAAAAACGTTTTGTCCTCCATCCAGAGGACTTCCTCAGTCTACGGCCTGCCAACCAGATCTGTCCCATAGGTAGTCTTCAGTGCTGTGTTTCAAGACAACCTTGGGTGTGTTTCACACATGTCAACAGCCTCCTTTTGAGATTCCAACAGGCTTGAAACGCAGCAGTGAAGGCTACCAATGGGAAAGATCTGGTTGGCTGTAGACTGAAGAAGTCCTCTGGATATGGAACGAAGCATTTCTCACTTAAAGAAACTGGTCCATATGACACAATTTAACCTTATTTAATTGAATGAACAGTGTTTCCCGGCGGTCTGGCTGCTCATTGATTGCTGAGGGTCCTGCTCCTTTCTCTTTCTGAGGCTGGTAGCCTCAGAAAGAGAAAGGAGGGGATGGGGTCTGTTTACCCCCATCACTGCTGTGGGAGCTTCAGTGAGGTAGATACCAGAGTGACTGGCATGGATTGTTTATTTAAATAATCAAGTGCGACCTGAAATGAGTCGTAACCTGAGCCAACCCAACCTGAACTGAGCCGGACAATTTCCTGAACTGTGAACTGTCCTGGGTGCTCCCGATGGCCAGTCCACCCCGGGATTGGCTCAGTAACCGTAGCATCAGTCTTTCGCTGTGCTCATTTAGAGGGTTTAGAGAGCTTAGAACATTGCAAGAGTGTGGGAAGGGTTCATAAAGCCTTCAAATATATATAAATATTAAAATAAATAAAACGTCCCTACTTCGTGGATGTTCACCTGTCACGGGGGGTGTCTGGAACTTAAGTGAGGGACTGCTGTATATTTTATGAAATGTCATGAAAGGCGCTAGGAGATGTGGGACTTTAATCTTCTGTTTTTAAAATAAAAATGAAACTGTAGCTCATATAGAAATAAAAACACTGCAGCAAAGACTATAAATATAAATATTTTTACTTTATTTTTTTACCTCTTGCCTGCCGGAGACACCCTGAGCGATTAAAGCCTCCTGTTCTATGTTGATCCACGCAAACATTAACCAAGATAAGGCAGGAGGAAACAAGGCCTCTGACCTGTGGGAGAAAACGGGACAAATTTCATATTTAAATTTACTGTGGTGGTAAAACTGCACAAGTCCTGATCTGAACTGTAAACGTGTGCGTTGTACCCTGTGCTGAGCAGCAGGTATGTGGAGACGAGAGACAGGAATATACTGAGGAGCCGATGGAAGAGACGCGTCGAGCTCAGCAAAGGCACAAATATAGACGTCGCTGTAAATGAGAGCGGAGGCAGACGAGACGTGCAGGACGTTAAAGACGGCAGGGCTAACGATGCTGCCTGAAAGATCCCAACAGCATCTTGGAGCGACCTACCTAAAGTGGTCCAGCTGACGAACTGACTGAGAAGCGGCAGGCCTCGTTTCTGCTGCAGACTGGAGTGCGTGAGGAAAGGCACGTACGCGCACACAGCCACATGGATCATCTGTCCGGGTCGACAAGTGTTAAACTGTTTTCAGCGACAACACATCGCACACGAACCGTGAAGTGTACGAGTTACCTGAGAGAAAAAGTGCCGCCTGTCACCTGGGCGCAGCGGCGTCCTCTGGCACGAGGACCACAGATAACAGGCTGATGTGAAGAGCGTGAGCAGACCTGCACATGCACTGAGCAAACCAACAGCACATGCATCGTATTTAACATACTGAGCTTAATCTTTAATTTCTAATCCCTGACATATCCGGGTATGTTCCTACACATATAAGTGATATTTTTACATTTCTAAAGTTGGTGAACACTAAGTTGAAGCTGCATTTTAATCTGTAGCTGGTTCAGATTGACATCCGATTAAAAGTGGAAAGTCCGTGCAGCATTAGTTGGAAGTGGGAGCTCTTTCAACGCTTTTTGATTTCCTTCTGATGACAAAAATCATATCGGAAACTTTCAGCTAATTTTGCTCGACCCTGAAATAAACTCATTGTGTGAATGTTTACGAAGCGTTCGCTCTATTGTCATCTATTTTTCTTCTGTACATTTTCCAGCATCTTTCTCGTTCCACAATTTTTGTTCTATTTCAACAAATCAAAAACATTCGGCTCTTTCAGGACAATCCTGCTATGACTTTTGGTATTGGTGCAACTTCAGCTTTTTCAAATATTTAGCCTCTTCTGACATTTTCTTCTAATAGAAAATGAATTGAGCTCATTTTCCATCCTTCAACTCTTTAGATGTGTTTACTCCTTTCACATTTTGTTCTGCTTCAGCTTCTTTCAGCTTCCTTGTGCAATAAAAAAAAAAAACTGCTAATTTCAGGAAAATTTCAGCTGTTCTTTCAGCTGTTTTATGCTCCTTTCAGATTATTTCTGCTAATTACAACATTTTTGTGCTTCTTCTAACTTCTTTCTGCCATTTTCAGCTTGTTATGCTCCTTTCAGCTTATTTCTGCGTTTCAGCTTTTTCTCCTATTTCTGCTATTGTTTAGCTGTTTTTATGCTAATTTCAGCATTTTCAGCAAAATCCACATTTTTGGCACTCATTTTAACTTGTTTCAGCCTATTTCAGTAAAAATATGCTCTCTTCACTTCTTTCTGGTAATTTAAATCCTTTCTCTGCCCTTTTTAGCTACGATTTGGCTGTTTTTTTTTTATTTTGTGCAAATTTCCGCCTTTTTCCAGATAATTTCCACTTTGTGCTCATTTAAGCCTAATTGTGCACAACTGTGCTCTCCAATTCATTCTGCTATTTTAAGCTTCTTCCTGCCTTTTCAGCTACTTTTCAGCTGTTTTGTTTCTAATTTCAGCTTTTTTAGTTAAATTACCAATTTTTATGCTAATTTCTGCTCATTTAACACTAATTAGCAAATATGTGTTCTACCTGTTTTGTTCTGCTAACTTAAGCTTGTTCTTCCATTTCAGCATGCTTTTAGCTAATTTCAGCTTTTTTTCATCAAGTTCTTCAGCAGTAAGCATTCACACTGCATTTCCTGCGAAAATGCAATTTCTCTAGTTTAATCTCTTATTACCCGAGCATAAAATCTGGTTGTTCTCTACTATTTTGCCTGTCATGAGTTAGAAAACTCTGATTTTAATATTTTAATTTAATAATTAATAAAGTACATCCAAGTCAAATATTTTACTGTAGCTGATCTGACTAGAGTCTGATCTCTGGGTGCTCTTGTGCTGTTGAGGCACATTTTCTGGTAAATGGAAGCAAATGCAGGAAGTACTCACAGCAGATGTAGGTTAGGGTCTCTACCCACAACTGGCATCAGGGGGAAAAGCGCCAAACACAGACAAGCCGCAAACCAGCTCAGTGACCGATACTGCACAAAAACAAGGACCAAAAATAACTTTAAGCGCTAAGGATTCCAGAAAACTGTGAGTATAAGTTAAAAAAAAAATAATCACAATGTCCACATAAACCATCCCTTAGTTGGTGTGTAGAACATAATTATAGTTATATTACCATTATTTTCAATAGTTTTTTTTTTAAACATTTCACTTTGACACGTGAAATGTGCAAAACCAGGGTATTTGTATATTTCAATAAAATAATAGATGAACAAAAACAACTGGCACATTCTTCAGCTGGTTTTATGCTTTAATGTGAATTCTTTAGTGAAATGTGACATCACGTTTGTCTGAGTTCATTCATGAGGAGTTTCAAGAGTGGGTGATAAGATACTTTAACTCTTTAAACTGAGCCTTAGAAGTTTAATTGCTCTAATAGGTTGAACCCATTTCATCTTATATGACTAGCAGAGAAAACATTTAAATATAATTCCAGATTGAAATGATGTAAAACTGTTATCTGATTGAAGGATTTGTAGCAAAACGTGAGATTATTTTAGTGCCAGAGTAGTGAAACATGTTTATTATCAAAGCAGAAAGTCTACAGGTCTTACACATATTTTATTTTTAACGAAAAAGAAAAAAATGTGCATGCATATCTATTTTATTTCTTTATGAATTTTTAAAATGGAAATGCAAAACAATTTTAGGATCAAAATGATTTAAAAATATAAATTCTGTAGTTTGTTCCTTTTGGATTTTAAACTTCCTGGACAGACTGCTTGCCATAAGCATAGACTGAATAAATAAATAAATAAAGAGATGTGAAACATAAAAACAGGATTGCTTTTCCATGTGTGATGGAGAGCAGGAACACAATGTGCTGCTTGTCTACCTTTGCCTTGTGAAAGAGCCCCGACAGGAGGGGCCACAGGGACAGAGCAGCGAGGCCCAGAGTCAGCACGGCGCGATGGAAGAAACTCACCACCTGAGGACACCAAAGACAAACAGTCGTTCAGGTTGAACATCACTGTGCACTGATGTGGCAATCAGATAAAAGCCTATAAATATATATAAATATATATATATAAAAAAACATACAAGCAGCTCGATCCCAAACAGCACCAGCACAAAGTAGACAAAACATTTCCAGAGTTGCAGAGACGAGGCTGATCGGATCAGATTTGTTAGAGCTCCAGATCTAAAATGAAACAAGATCGTTAAAAATATATATATATGATAAAAATATGATAAACCCACACCTTTCTTAATTTACAAAGAATGGATACATAAAATCATAGACAGTACAGCTATGGCTAGGTGTGTCTCGATAAACAATAAATCAATTAATCGCATGATAAATGAAAATTATCAACATTTTCATTTATCGGCTTTATCGTTTCTTCGTGTCTCTCTTTCTACTGAAGACACTGGATGACAAAAGGCTCAACTCTGGTGTTCTTCACTGACCCCTCCCTCTCTTTTTTCTCATTAAAATCTGTTTTAACCGTCTAAAATCACGTTTTTTGATCGTTAAAAGCAGCTAAGCTGAGAAGCTAAGCTACGAGCTAAGCTAACAGGCCGACCTCATGAAAAACCTCCGTCTTGTCGAAGCTCCAAAATTCACGGTTGAAAACTCGTGCCTTCGTCTACAAACTTGTTTTTCTCTGCAAAAAGAAGCTGAGAACTTGTTTACTGTTTTTTTTTAATATTTTTTATTTTTTTATTAAAAGCTTTGTGTAAAAAATGCTAAAGAGCTGAAACCACACAGAGCGTCCGCCATTTTGAGAAGTGAAAAACAGGAATGAGAGACCGCCCATGTCACGTCAAGTGGTCTCCCTCCCATTTTTCTTAAGAGACACGCTGTTCGCTCCCTCACTATCCATCCTTCTGTTCAGTCTTATACTGCCATCCGGTGGTCAAAAAGGGTATTACACACAAATTAACCAACAGTTCTTCTTAAATTTGACAATAATTACTAATTATTGTCAAATTTCAAACAATATTATCGTTTATCGCAATAATTTCTGACAATTAATCGCCCAGCAAAATTTGTTATCGTGACAGGCCTAGCTATGGCCAACATGAACGCACTTAATTGAAAAATAAAAATAAAAAAAACTCTGTGGATGTGTTCAGATGTCCTGTGTCCGCAAACATATTTTACAGCTAAAAGCATATTTAGTTTGTTTTATTAGTTTATTTTATTACAAACTAAAAGTAGCTTGAAAATAAAGAGACGGGAGTTTAAGTTGTTGCGGTCAAATCTTGTAAAGAAATGATGCGCGACTTCCATGTAACATTATGAGACATGTGTAGTGGGGACAACTCTCAGCTTCTACCACAACAAAGTTTAGCTCATCTGTAAATTAGTCTTTCTTGTAGCCATTTTTGTGTTGGCTAAGGTCGGTTAGCTGCGGTGGCCATCTTAAAATAAGTTGACTCCAAATGTGAATCAGTTCTAGACGCACAACCCATGGTTATTTTCTCCAATTATTAAAATGTGACCAATGGTTTACGAGATATTTTGCTAACAGACGGATGACAATAGCCAAGTTTTAAAATCAGATCTTGCCCAATCATTTAGCTCAGAGAATACATTGGCAGAATGACTCGCCTACGACCAAACCACATTGTAGTTTATTATTTGTCCAATTGTCTCTTTTTTATGCTTGATAAGCTTGCTTAGCTATGGTGGCCATCTTGAATGTGGATGACTCCAAAAAAAGAACGACTTGTAAATGTACACTCAGTGTTCACTTCCAGAGTTTAAGTAAAACGTGTGCAGTGGTTGATAAAATATTTTACTAGTGCGACAGACGCACACAGACCTGAGGTTACTCACTCTTTAAAAACAGCGTGCCACACAGGGACGGGCAGCAGGCAGTAAATATAGTAAGTAACGGGGCTTCTTTGGATAAGCAGGAACACGGTGATCATCACCGCCACGAAAACAGAAAGCCTCGCCAGATTATGACTTGAAATCTGTGCAGAAAGAAGAACAAGATGTAAATGTCACAAACCAGTTCCAGAGACAAGAATCTGAAAACAAATGGTCCATCCCAACCTGTTTAGTGAGATTAGGACGGCAGTTTAAGGTGGTGTGAGTCCTCAGAATGACCAGAATAACGTAGGAGGTCCAGCCTATGAATCCCAGCACCACGCTGCAGCCCAGGAAGAACCTGTCGTAGGTGTGGTAGTAGACCAGACCCTCTAAAGAGAGCGAGATCAGAGTCTGGCACAGAGAGACCTGATGACAGAACAGACGGTCAGTTTCACCTGAACTCTTCTAAATATTAGTGTGACAAATCAAAAACTAATCTTAACTTGTATTTAATGTTGCTGTTCTGAAGCTAATTAAAAAATACATAAATTGTGGACGTTTAAATTGTGGACGTTGTATTTACAGCTTCGTTGTACTTCTCCAGTTGAATCAGTATCCGAGCCCTCTGGATGAACTCGGCTTGTTTTGACTCAGTCAAGAGTCTGAAAAATCAAATAAAATCACAAGTTCTTATTTAAGTGTCTTAAAATTCTGGATTTTTGGGGACTTTATTTGACAAAACTGTAAATTAGTTTTCTCACTGAAACCAATTTAAAAAAAAGACCTCTGACTTTACTGCCTTGACTTCAGACAGGCAGCTCAGTCGGCCATTTTTAAATCAAATCAGCCGTCAGCTCTGCTCCTGTGAACTCAACCAGTTACTACAGAGAAAAGGAAAAGTGCAGCAGCAGCTACAACCAATTTACTGTAGCCTACAATTATTATGTTTATTTAGGTTTGGAGAATATTGTAATATTTTATTAAAGGAAAAAAACATTTTCACCAAAGCAAATAATCAGGTTTGTCTATCAGCCGCCCGTCATTTATAAAGATCAGCATCAGCTGAAGAAAAACTCAGGTCAGTCCACTTCCGGCATTGACATATACTTATACATATACTTATACATATACAATTCAAGCATGGATTGTTTATATAAAATATTACAGTATTTAAATTGTAGAGAAACGCAGATGCAGCACAAGCAGGAATGTACTTCTTGATCAATTACACTGTAACAACTGAACATCTAAAATTAAAAATAACTTCTAACGCTTTGTATTTTTTGACGATGTGACATACTTTGAATTTTAAGTTGGAAGACAAAAGTCGATCGTGCATCTGGACAGCAAAGGGTTAACCCTTCACAGAAATGTGGGCGTGGCAGAGCGCTGCAGGTGGCAGAGAGCGGAGATCATGACAGGCTGCACGAGGGAGCTTCCCCCTGCACCAAATGATTTAGCACCTGCTAAAACATTTTAAATAATTTTAAATAAACAATCCACGCCACTCGTGCGGCTCATCCATCAATCAGCCAGTTGTGTGTCATGTCCACTTTTACTTTGAAAAACTGCAAAAGTCAAACCGCAAAGTAGCGAGGGACAGCTCTAACACTTGACCTCGCACAGAACGCATCAACGAAAGTTGAAGCCAGATGGGGACGGCCTCCTCATAAGTGCAACACATTCAACTTCTAAGTTCTGCCCCACCATGTAAATAAACATAACTTTGTCCTTCATTAAAAAAATAATAATAATAATAACATACAATATTTTAGGTCCAGACTCATTGATTCACATAGTTCTTACCTAACTGCTGTATGTCTGAATATTCATTTTCCTAAAACACTTAATTTGTTATTAATGCTTAAATGAATAATCATGTGACAATACGATTTTGTGCAGGAGAGTAGGCGGGACTTAAAGCTTTATTGCTCCCGTACACAAAGTCATCACTTTCAAGATAAAGTCATGTTAACTTCAGTCAAAGTGGTACTCACTGGAATGGCGTGAAGAGAAAAGACAAGGTTGTTTCTTTTTTCTGGCTCATTTTCACCTATTAGAAAAAATAAAACATTAAGCTCAGTCACTGGACTTAATAACACTACAGTCCTGCAAGGTGCAATAAATAGAAGTGTAAGCAGCTCCTGATCAACATGCTTATGACTGTAAAGCAGAAGTGCCAGTAGTGATACCTTAAACTGCTCCAGGACTTGAACAGCATTGGTGAACATGCTTTCTGCCTTGAACTGATTGCTGTTGTTAAGGTAGAGGAGCGGCAACACACCCTAAACACACACGCGTGCACATTTAACCTGTCAGTACATTTTAAATGATGGATTCTGGCACAAAAAAAAATAAAAATAAAATCACTGTATGACACTTCACTTCTTGCTAATATGTTTTACAGCCACGAAACTGTGTAAAAAATATACAACTATGGTAATGCATTGCATAGTTGCAGTAAATCTAACTGGAAAAAACGTATTATAAATATAATATTTGAACAGCAACTTACAACAGAGTTAACAGGAATGGGCAAACCAATGAGAGAAGCCATGAGTGGAGCAATGTCTGCCTAAACAAACAAACAAACAAACAAACAAACAGTATTAAATGACTTTAAAAGTAGCAAAGCTTTTTTACATGTGAGAAACAGAGATGCTAACTGATAACAGGAATATTATTACCGTATTTTCCGGTGTATAAGTTGCTCACTTATACACTGAAGCGACTAATATGGTTTTTTTTCCCTCATATTTATAACCCCATTTTGACTGACATTTGAAATGTTCATTCATAGACAGGAACCAGTAAACATTACCAGTTGCAGCCATTAGAGGGCCGTCTAATGTTCCTCGCCACAAAAAGGAAAAAATATGATGACTCAGCCATTTTTAAAGCTATTCAGCTGAAATTTAGTACAATAGCTGGGAACGATCCCTAATAGACTGTGAGTGCAAATCAAAAATCCAAGATGGCCACCTTAGCTAAAAAGGTAAAAATTATGATAACTCAGACATTTTTAGAGCTACTACGCTGAACTTGGGTATAGTGGTAACTGAGAGCAAACACCAACACATAGTACTGTCAAATCAACAATTTAAATTGGCAGCAGCGTGGCAGTCCCCGTCAAAGTTTCTCCAGGAACTTTCTAGTTCTAAACTATTGTTAGCTGTGATCCTCACCTGGTTGACATCAACTCTGCGAATGTGCTCCAACTTCCAATCTGAATAAAACCGAAGGACAAACCATGTGAAGATGCAACGTGCAGAAGTTGGAGGATAATCAGGATCTTAAAATATTACAAAGTACCCTGTAAGTATCCGTCGTCGTACGGCTGTGGTTCTGTGACCCTCTGAGCCTTATTAACCCCAGCTCCCCACGCCACTAAAGGTGTGAGTGTTTCAGAAGGGTGGCCAGCACCGTGGGAGCCTGGAGACAAATATGACCAAACAGAAACCGCAGTAATTTCACATTTTTTTATTCAAACAGACGTTTAATAAGAAACAATCTCTTACCCCAGTTTGTCATGCCGTGATCGGAGGTAAACACGTAGGCGGTTCTGCCATCATTGCCAAAAAAGTCCTCAAACACAGACACGAGCTCAGCTACTCCTGAGTCCACCAGAATAACATTGTGCAGGTATTCCCTGCATGAAAGACGAAGTTCAAGATGAAATCACTTTTTAATAGCGCACAAAGTGAAATTACTCACAACAAAAGGAAAATTATTTACTCACTGCGACATCGGTCTGTGAGCGTGTCCGTTGGTGTCGATGCCAAGCAGGTGCAGAAAGAAGACGTTCCCATCCTCGAGCAGACTGGCCTTCAGAGAGGAGTTCGACTTTGCTGAATGTAGAAGGGACTGATAGAAATACAAATATGTTTGAGGTTAATGTAGAAAGGAGTGAATAAATTCCAACTCATGTCATAATTACATGCTTTACTGTACATGAGGCTTGGCAATTTGTAACGAGACGAGACAATTATGCAAAAGCAAATGTTAATGTAAAACATAAATGTTACAAATCCAGTAACTTTAATAACTTTTATTGAGACTTAATCAACTGTTAAGAATAGACCCATCACAATGGTCATGTTTATTTTGTGTTTTCAGCCGTACTTTGACCTGAGTGAAGACCCAGCTGTCCAGCCTGGAAGCATCTGTGGAGGCAAAGTCTTCCTCCTCTGCCGGATATGTGTGTGAGTACACATGGTCTCCGCTGGCACCTGGAAAATAAAGATTGCAAGGAAATAATAAGTACTGAAGATATAAATAATGAATACATGAAACATTTATTTTTATTAAATCTCTGGCATGAAAGGCAGTGTGGTGATATGTTCTCCTTTAAGGAGCTCGAGGCCTTGGCTTTTTCCTGAACTACTAAAGATTTATGGTTATTTGCTGTTTCTAAGAGCGTGTGAACCTGTGTGAGCACATCTACCTTTGGCAAACATAGGCAGAATATCTGGGCTTCCCCAGCACCATGTGTTCCTGCTCTCATTAAACACTGAATCAAACTCTACAGGGTTCTCCTTCCAGCCTGAAAATAAGCACAAATAAAGTCAGTAACGTTCACAAAGAATCACATTGTTCAACTCTTAGAAAGATACGTTCAGAAGTGGATGAAAGTAAAACTTGCTGGGCAAGAAGGAATAGCAATGTGCGCCTACCTTTAGCAACTGCACTAACATCCTCATAGAAGCCTGCGATGAGAGCAACATGACCGGGCCGAGACTCAGTGGGCACACGCGTGTGAGAGACACCCCAGGTACCAGTCTCCTCTATTACACTCCTGGAAGTGGAAACATGAGACATACAGGATGCTCAGATATATGCATGAGAAACAGTCTAGCAGAATGGTCACATTTAAAGAATTAAAGGTGAACATACTTATTATTATATCCACAACGCTCACATATTAAACTCAGTTCATACCTTAGGTATGGAGTCCTTGAAGCGCCGTCGGGGAGAAGGGTAAAAAGAGTGTCGGCTCTGAGGCCATCAGCGACAAACAACACCAGCCTGGATGCAGGGGGTGCCAGAGGTGTGGACCGAGGGGCCATGCCATGGACCAAGGGAGACGTGAAGTAGATGTCAAAAATGGACAGGAAGAAGACCACGTGGACTGTCAGGCCAACCAGGAAAAATGTGATCATCCTCATTTTGACAGTCAGGACTAGACTGAGTGGCACCTGTGATGTTTCTGCAAATGGAGACGGGCAGATTCCATCAGTAAATGTAAGAAGACGGAGAAAGTACAGCAAGTAAAGGGTTTGACCTGCGAGTGCAATCATCAGTCACTAGTTTAGTCAAAGAGTGTGCCACATAAAGGCTTAAGGCAGGACTAATCCGTTGACCATATGTCATCAGTCATTGCAACAAATAAGAAAAAATAAGTAAAAAAAAAAATCAACAGTATTTGGTATTTTAGCATTATACTTACAGAATGCTCAGCAAGAATTTAAGACTTAAAAACAAGCCAAATCTTAGGACAAACAAACAACAACAAAAAAAACCTTACCTGTATGTTGTGTGAACTGAACAGGATTAAGTGTTTTGTTAAGGGCAAAACGTGAGCGCGCAAATATCTACTATCACTGACTATCCACCTTTTTACCCATTCATAACTTGTTTAGCTTTAATTTTCGTAATTACCTATGATTATATTTAGAGAACTAGAGTGACGTTGTTCTTTAAAACTAGATCAACGTAATCTTCAAATGGATGTTTGATTAAAGCCAACCAACTCCTAATTCTAATAAGATTAGTACAAGAAATACAGGCTCCACGGGCATTCACTTCCTTGTTGTGACTTTTGCGTTGACGCTTGACGCATGCGCATTCTCGGTGAATTGTGGGTAGTGTAGTTAATTTATGCTTCATTTTGCCGATGGGTTTCTGCCTCACAACGTCATGTTATAGAATTAAAAAAAAAAGTTAGTTATTACCAGTTTGCATTACGGTACATATTTGAACACTATTTTGTTTTGGAATAGCTTCTTTTTTTACTTCATTATTAGCTAGCTTAAACCGTCAACTATCAAACACGCCCTGCCCAGTTAGCTAGATAGCCAATTATTTTGCAGTATTCAATAAAAGAGGCGGGCTTAAGGGTGGCATCCTCCAAATTTAGCCAATCAAAATCTCCCCTTTTTTTTTTCCTCTTTTAACGCTAACTGCACGACCAGGAAGAGGCGGGTCTGATTAGCTTAGCTGTGCTAAAAATCATTGTACTGGGAAAAATGGCGTCCGTCAACCCTTTTAATCTCAGCGATTCTGAAGAAGAGGCTGAACGACGACCCAGTGAAACAGTTGACACAGAGAGAAGTCCAAGCGACGGAGCACCGGGGCCACCGCCAAGCAACCCGTTTTCTCCGACTGCGGACGCCGAACCTCCGACGCTCCTGCTGTCCAGCAACCGTACGAGCCCCAGCGGTGAGGGCATCCTCTCCGCGTCGGCCGCGGCTACCTCCGCGATGGCAGGCGGCGCCGAAACGCGGATATCTGTGGATGTCATCGCCGCTCAGTTATTAAGGGACCAATATATCCTCACGGCGCTGGAGTTTCACACGGAGCTGCTGGAGGCAGGCAGGGAGCTCCCGAGGCTGAGGGACTATTTCTCCAACCCGGGGAACTTCGAGCGACAGAGCGGCACTCCACCTGCCAGAGAGCAGGCGCTCGGACCTGGAGGACCGCTGAGTAAGTAGCTGCCTCCGATGCTACAAGTAGCACTTTGCTTTCTTTGCCGTTTTTGTTACATTAAAACGTGTTTTTTTTTGGAGCAGAGCTGATCTCTGGATCCCATCTTGCTGCTCCTGCCCAGCCCCAAGGGCCGCAGTGATCCAGTGGCTTTTATTTTTTTTATTTTTGGGGGGTCAACTTTTCTCGTCAGGTGGATCAGAACACAAGGGGATTGATTACAGAACTGTGACTAACTGATCAAACACTGCTAATTGTGCTTTAAGATGAGAACTTTAAAGTGGCAGACAGATGGTGATCTCCCCCTGAGGGAGACCATCCTCTTCCTCAGGCTGTCAGGAGGTCATGGAGGAGCAGAGGAAAGATCAGCAGAAGAAAGTGCTGAGTTCTTGCTCTACCTGCCGTGCAACTATATATTTATTACAGACAAGACTAAATAACAATTCTGAGCTTTGAAATAAGTCTATAGTTGGCAAAAATCTAATTAGGACAGAATCTGTAGTAGACTCCAAATTTAGGTTTTTAGACTGTTGACTCGTCCTCATCCACTTATTTTACTTTTAATAGTCTTTTGACTTTTTCTTCTTCAGGGGTCTCTCCACAGCGAGTCCTCCTCCGTCTCTGTCCTCACTCCAACTACCTCCATGTCCTCGTTAACTGCATCCATATAGCTCTTTGTCTTTTCCCTGGCAGCTGCATTTCTAACATCCTTCCACCAGTATACCCACTGTCCCTCCTCTGGACATGTCCAAACCATCTCAGTCTGGTCTCCCTAACTTTATCTTCCAGTTGTTCAACCTGTGCTGTACCTCTGATGATCTCATTCCTGATCTTCTCCATCCTTGTCACTCCTAAGGAGAACATCAGCATCTTCATTCCTGCCACTTCCAGTTCTGTCTCCTGTCTTTTTGTCCATGTCTCTGTCTCCAGACCATACAACACAGCTGGTCTCACCACTGTCTTGTAAACTTTTCTTTATTTTACTTTTAATAGAGTAACTAGTGCATTATAGATAAGTTAACACGAATTTCTGTCTTATTAGTTGTTGAGAGACCATTAATAAAAAAATAAGTTTTAACAAAATCAAAAAGTAAATGTACAATGGATCAAAAAGTACTAACCGTAAACATGAAAGGAATATTTTGCCTAAAGCCATGTCGTCTTTTCTAGATTGATTTGATTGCTAACACTCATGTGATCTGCTAAAATGATCTGCATTTTGACTGAATATATCTCTACAGTAGATGTACTGAAATGTCATGATATATTGGAGTATTTTTGTTTGTTTTACTCTAACAGAAGAGGTGATGGTATGCATTCTGTAAATTGAACCGTTACCTATATTTAATAAAGCAGCGGTGTCTAGTGATTAATACAGTAAAGCAGGTATTTACAAAAAGTGTTTAAACTTTGACGACAGTTTGACTTGTTGCTCTGAATCTAATTTTCTTAATTATGGTTTTTCCATGCTATGATCTTAAGATGTATGGTTTAGCAGGAGCATTTGAAAATATACACAAGTACTTTTTACACTTTTAACACTTAATGATGCTTTGTTTTATTACTAGTTTGCTTTGCGTAGTTACACTAAATCTACATATTGTTATAAATGGAGCTTTCCTAACATAGCTCAGTTATGATGAGACTTTTATTCTTCTAATACATTAAAGATGCATGTGTCATGTATTTTATACTGCATAAAAGCAGAAGTCAACAGCTGACTGCTCTGATATGTACTTGAGCCGACCTTTGTGACACAATTTGGACCAGCTCGTCCTGAACTCCAGATGTTTTCGAGCACATTATGAATATTCACTGTGTGGCGTTAGCAGCTGTTGCTCCAGGTCACATGACGCAACAAGGAGGTTTGACTGAGATTCTCTTCTCCGTTGTGATATAACGCAGTAGTTATTTGGTCATGTGAGAGATTTTATCCAGTCATGCTGTGATTTTGACAGTGGGCTGCTATATTTGTGAAACTCGTCCTTTCATTACGACGGTTTTAGTGATTCTTGGTACGACTTCTTAATGGTCTGTGCTCCATTATTCTGTCTTCACAACCTCATTCTAAATCAGGCTTGGTTATGCCTAAACACCCCCCAATTAAACCGAATGAGCTTGTTCGTTACTCCTTGGTGTTGTGTTTATCCCCATTCTTTTCAAATATTTCCTTCGGTTTCATTTAAGTTTACATAGCCGTCTTGTTTGTCGACACGTTCAAACCCCACTACTTGAGAGTTTAGCTAAATAACTGCAACTTCATCTGATTGTAAAAATAAATGACTTGAATTCAGACGAATGGAACAAAATCATAGAGAAACGTCCGGTTATGAAATGTTTTTATGGTCTGCTCGCAGGACTGAGGGTTTTTGTTTGCAAACCTATATGTTCATTAAACATGTGACACACACACACGGACACAAAAGCTTTCAAAATAAAACTCAATTTAGAATATATATAGGCAATAACAACCTTTTCTGGTGTCGAGGATCACTTATGTACGCTCAAAACTAGGTTAAAGTTTTATCTTTACCGTACATCGTTTGTTCTATAGAGCTCGGCTACATTTGGCCTTTAGGCCAACAATGCTACGTTTGGCCCGACTTCCTATTGTTTCTGGTTATCAGAGAAGAAACGGGGCCAGTCTCACACTCGCGGTGCAGTGGAAAGAAAGCCAACACCATTGACAATGCTAGCAGAGCTCAGTGAAACATGAGTACACCTATTTATCAATTTTAACTGCTCCTTAAGACAAAATAACTTCGCTAATCCTCTACTCGGCTGCAAGGTTGTAGTTCAGTGGGTATTTCCATAATGTACACATCCTTGTATGACACTTTTCTCTGCGTCTGTGTGTTTGAGCAGATCGAGCAGGCAGTATTAGCACCTTGGACTCTCTGGACTTTGCACGTTACTCGGATGACGGCAACAGGGAGACAGACGAACGGGTGGCAGGTAAGATGAACCACGCTGTCGGGTCACCAAGAAGGAAGCCCGGCTTACCTCGGGGAAATACAAGATCACAAGAAAGTATATTGGTTGAAAGAGTTCGGCGTCGTAACGAGGAGCACGACGCGCAAACGACTCACTGATGACCAACCGGGATGTCGGAAACTAGTGATTCTGTTCTGGTCACGTTATTTTATTTTAACACTTGTCAAGCGCTCCAAACGTTCAGGCTTTCGTAGAATCACTCCCAACTGATACAATTTTGTAATCTTTTAGCCTTTTCGACATGCCGAGCGTTTTGTGATTTTGTTGAAGGGATTCAGATTCTTCCTAATAACCGTCACATTTTGAAGACGGTCTGTGGTATTTTTAGTGCAGAACTGATCAATAATTTTTCAGAACCGCACTTTCAATACCCTTTTCCCTGTTGCTCTGTCGTGGCACACCTTTTAGTTTTAGTTAAATACGTTTTCAGCTGTTTCTGCCACTACTGACGCATCATCGCACATTTCTGGCCTTAGCAGCAGCTGCTCATGTGTGAGCTCATTGTTTGTTTTCAGCCGAGTGATTTTTAGACTGCTGATAAAAACTGTTTACCCTTTATTAAGGCCTCAGAACATCTCAATCTACAACTAGGCCTGTCGCGATAAACAATAAATCAATTAATCGCATGATAAATTAAAATAATCTACCTCGTTTTCATTTATCGGCTTTATCGTTTCTTCGTGTCTCTCTTTCTACTGAAGACACTCGATGAGAAAAAGTTAAACTCCGGCGCTCTTCACTGACCCCTCCCTTTCTCTTTTCACTTTAAAATCCATTTTAACGTCCAAAGTCACGTTTTTGGATCGTTAAAAGCAGCTAAGCTGAGAAGCTAAGCTACGAGCTAAGCTAACAGGCCGACCTCATGAAAAACCTCCGTCTTGTCGAAGCTCCAAAATTCAAAAATGCTATGCGAAAGAGCTCAACCCACACCGAGCTTCCGCCATTTTGAGAAACGACAAAAGGAAAGAGAGACAGCCCGTGTCACGTCAAGTGGCCTCCCTCCCATTTTTCTTAAAGGGACACGCTCGCTCCCTCACTATCCATCCTTCGGTTCAAACAGTCTTATACTGCCATCTGGTGGTCAAAAAAGTTACTACACTCAAAATAAATCAACATTTTTTCTTAAATTTGACAATACTTAGTCAAATTTCAAACAATATTATCGTTTATCGCCATATTTTCTGAGACAATTAATCGCCCAGCAAAATTTGTTATCGTGACAGGCCTATCTACAACTATAGTAGAGATTTAAAGTTGTGTAAAAGTACTTAAAAACTCCTTTTTTATGAATGTTATCATGCAAAATAGTGTTGCATTTTTCTTTTAATTGTTTTATAATATGTTTAAATCCTAGATAATTTATGCAGATATACCTAATGTCATCATATAAATGGCTTGCTTCTGGTTTGGACTTCTGTAAGTTAATAAAATTACATTAAACAGTTGAGATGCATTGATTGCAATGTCCTAACTTTCATATTTATAAAATAAAGTTAGCATTTTTTAAAGCTCCTACCGGCTTAATTAGATTTTGCCAATTCAAAAATTTCTGCAAGCTACAGTGTTATTGGCTGAACATAAAATCAGACTGTTCATAATATAATATTTAATTAAAATGTGTTTCTTCAACTTGACCAAGTTACAGAAGTTTCTCTCTGTCCCTGGACTTACATCAGATTATTGGAATATCAGAAAATAAAGCAACATCTCCTTTATGAGGCAGATTATAGCTACCCAACATTTTCTTTTCCCTCTACACTTCAGAACATCAACGTGCACCATCTCACAGGACAACCTTTTTTTATTTATCCTTATACATTTCACAATTTGAAATAAATCACACCTCTATCCATAATGACCGTTTGGAAAAAAAAAACACTTATTTACTGTAAAATTGTTAGATTATTAAATAATTATTTCGTTTTATTGTAGCTATGCATGTGACCAGTCAAGCCAGTATTCAGCCAATTCCTTGGACCAGCTGAGACGTTGGTGCATCCCAAATATACAGGAGACAGTTTAAACCATGCAGCAGAGATGATCAAACCTACAAATTATGCATCATTAAAGTTCTACCTCTGCTCCCATACTGCCCATACACTGAATTGGTACCACCCCCCTGCTCCTTTCAAGCACACCTGATTGTACCCCCCCCTCAACCTGTTCTTGCCAAAATGTCTGCCCCCAGCTGTCTGACTTTGGGTTTTCTGGCTTTCTTCTGACGTTGGTCAAACCCCAGTGAAACTCTGGACAAGTCACTCCATCCAGACTAGCTTTTTGCTTTTCTGTTTTTATTTTCTCCCCTCGTTATTTTGTTCATGTTCTTTTATTTGATTTTTTTTTTTTTTTTCATTTTGTCACGATTGCAACCTGTGCACTCCTGATCTGTGGTAAAGTTTGATAATGGCTTAGGTTTTATTTTCCTAAACTAAAATAAATGGCCACAATGAGGGAGAAGTAAGCATGTGTAGATGCACGTTGGGGAAAATACCGGTAGGTATTTGATGTACTGCCGATTTTACGAGTTTTCCCAACAATGAATGGAGAGGTCTGTATGTTTTAATGTACATACACTATAACTGTGAGACAGAATCTAAGGATAAAAATCAGAAAATCACATTGTATGGTTTTTAAATAAATACTTAGCATTTTCTTACATGAAATAGGTATTTGATCACCTATCAATCAACAAGAATTCTGTCTCCTACAGACCTGTTAATATTTCTTTAAGAAGTCCTCCTATTCTGCACTCGTTAGTCACCTGTTTGCACTCGTTACCTGTATAAAAGACACCTGTCCACACACTGAGTCAATCAAACCCCAACCTCTCCACCACTGCCAAGACCAAAGAACTGTCTAAGGACACCAGGGACAAAATTGTAGACCTGCACAAGGCCGGGCTGGAATCAGCCCAGAACTACACGGGAGGACCTGATCAATGACCTGAAGAGAACTGGGACCCCAGTCTCAAAGAAGACTATTTTAGTATCATACTACGCCGTCATGGTTTAAAATCCTGCAGGGCATGCAAGGTCCCCGTTCTCATGCCCGTTTGAAGTTTGCCAGTGACCATCTGGATGATCCAGAGGAGGCATGGGAGAAGGTCTTGTGGTCAGATGAGACCAAAATAGAGCTTCTGGGTATCAACACCACTCACTGTGTTTGGAGAAGAAGAAGGATGAGTACCACCCCAAGAACACCATCCCAACCGTGAAGCATGGGGGTGGAAACATCATACTTTGGTGGTGCTTTTCAGGGGACAGGACGACTGCACCACATTGAAGGGATGATGGATGGGGTCATGCATTGTGATATTTTGACCAGCAGCCTCCATCCCTCAGGAAGAACATTGAAGATGGGTTGTAACTGGGTGCTCCAGCAAGACGGTGACCCCAAACACAGCCGGGGGCAACTAAGAAGCGTCTCTGTAAGAATCATTTCAAGGTCCTGGAGTAGCCTAGCCAGTCTCCAGACCTGAACCCAACAGAAAATCTTTGGAGGGAGCTGAAACTCCATGTTGCCCAACGACAGCCCTGAAACCTGAAAGATCTGAAGATCTGTATGGAGGAGTGGGCCAGAATCCCTGCTGCAGTGTGTGGAAACCTGGTCCAGAACTACAGGAAGTGTCTGACCTCTGTAACTGCCAACAACAGTTTATGTACCAAATAAATACTTATTTCATGCAATAAAATGCAAATTATTATTATTTTTTCTTGGATTCTGTCCTTCACCGTTGAAGTGGACCTACGATAAAAATTACAGACCTCTCCGTTCTTCGTAGGTGGGAAAACTTGTAAACTCGACAGTGTATCAAATACTTATTCCCCCACTGTATAAACATATGTAAATGTAGGTTAAAAACACCCATACAAGTGTGAAGCCTACCTAATACTTTGTTTTTGAATCAATAAATAATAATGAGGTCAAAAATAACGGATTTTCAGTGCACAGATATGCAACGTTGTTTTTCCTGCTCCATTGCTTACAAAGTTTTGCGTGTGTTTTTTACTCTAAAGTGTCTTAAGATCCTGTGTGAGTTTTTTTTTCTGCTTTGTTTGTGGTTAATTCAGAAATCCAAACTTCAATCTGCAGGTGAGAAAAAACGGATTTAGTCGTCTGCTACTTCTGGAAAACGTTCAGATTTTTGCAGGAAGTCAGAATCAGAAGCGTTTACTCCCATGCCTGAATAAGATTGAACTCTTACTACTTTAAATAAAGTTATTGCAATGATCTAACCCTTGATATGTGAGTTTCCTGAGCAGTGGCTGTCCTTTGAGTGGCTGGAAATTGATTAATTACTCGTCTGTAAGGCATTTGCCTACGCAAGAACCTGTGTCAGACAGCTCGATTATCCAGGGTGCGCATGGTGAATTTTAGGTCAAATTGGGCCCCTTTCAGAAAAAATAATCTGCATCAGCGCTTTGAATTGGAGGAATCGAGGGCTAAAAGTGTCTCAGTGCTTTGCACCACTCAGACAAGTGGACCATGATCCTCTGCTGCATGTGTTTTTATGAATCATGATTTGCATGCCGCCTTTCTTTTTTTTTTGTTTGTTTGTTTTATGACTTTTTGGATCTTTATTTTGTTTTTTGGGATTTTTTTTTTTTTTTTTTTTTTTTTTACGCTCATCTTTGTTTTGTTTGCTCCTTGTCTTTGGTTGGATCCACTTCCTGTGTGTGTGTGTTGTCATTTCCTGTCCAGTGCTGGAGTTTGAGCTACGGAAAGCAAAGGAGACCATACAGGCTCTGCGTGCAAACTTGACTCAGGCAGCAGGTGTGGCGTACTTTTAACTTCTTCTCCACTGGAACCCATTTTGTTACAGCTTTGTTGTTGTTCTTGTTGTTGCTAAGAGAATGTCTCTAGATGATCCGCAGCACACATTCAACCATTTAATATCCTCTGATTTCTCAGAGAGCGAAGTGCCGTCGCAGGAGAGAAAAAACTTCAAATCAAGTCCTGAAATTCAGGTTTGAAGCCCCTTGATCACTGAACTCTTGAAAATGTTCACATTTATTCAATTGTCTTTACAATGGTCAGTATTACGATGTAGTTTTTATTTTTTGTCCTGCTTCAGGAGTCCATACGACCACTGGAGAAAAGAGCCTTAAACTTTCTTGTGAATGAATATTTATTAAAAAATGAATACAAACTCTCGTCCATCACCTTCTCTGATGAAAACGATGATCAGGTAAAGGCTTTTTTGTGGTTGCTTCACGTCTAAAGAAAATCAAATAAAATAGTTTTATCCAAATAGCTTTAGATATTTTCCCAGCTTGAATAAAAAAAAAGTTTTATTCTTAAAATAAGATCAAAAATATCACATCCTGCATATGATGACATTAAAATATATATTTTTTGTTTTTCTTCTCAGGACTTTGAGTTGTGGGATGATGTTGGTCTCAACATCCCAAAACCCCCCGACCTGTTGCAGCTCTACAGGAACTGCGGCAGCACCCTCACTTCCCCCCGGGACAAAGTCGATGCGTCAGTCGAGGTCGATTTTGACGATCTTCCTGGAAACTGCGATGTTCAGGAGCACCTGAAGAAGCCCGACCTGTCACAACAGGTGCGTTTTAAAAATGTCCTGCTCTCTGCTGCATGCAGCATCTGTGGTAGAAACTCAAGAAGATGAGTTGCTTTTCCTGCAATAAGCAGGTTTTTTGTTTCGTGTACCTTTGACTGATGAAGCCTTCTGGATGGAAGGTGAAACGTTTCAGAAAAAAAAAAAAAAAACTGTCCAGATGACCTGACTGAAAATTGTCGCAATTAGAATATTTTCCAAAATTTCAGCCCTAATTTAAATTCAAATGCACTTCAGCTTGAACCAGAACCAATTTCATACAGTTTAATGAACTTAAATAACCTGTATTATGAAATAAAGTATTCTGACAGAAAAAAAAATACACGTCACAAGCGCTTTTCATTCAAATGTATTCAAAGTAGAACTCCCAATCTTCCTTAATTTCTCTACAAAGCACAGCCGTGCACAAAAAAAATCCTTACTTGTTGTGTATATTTTGAATTTTCTTCCTGCATTTATATTTTAGCATGTCAATAAATGTTAAAGTTAGATCTGACTGGTTTATAAACCAGCAGTTCTTAAGTACACAAGGACAGGCCTCTGTTCTGCACTATGCAAATAAAACGTAAAAAACAAGAGCAGGCCTTTCTCTGTTTGAAGTCAGTCAGCTGTTTGGTTAAAAAGCATTCCTAAAGGCTACTTGTTAACCAGCAGTTATCCATTTTAGAATTGTTGCTGGAGAACTAGCACGAACATGAACCACACGCATGCATTTTGATATTAGTTTTACTTTAACATTTCTGAAAAAGCTCAAGTAGAGTTCTAAATATTTGTTCCCCTTAATTAAGAGAGTTTAACACCTCCTTTTTTTTTTTTTTACAGCAACAAACGGAAGTCGTGCAAGAGCTGGAGTACCAGCTCAACCTGCTAAACAGTGAGAAGCAGAGTTTAGCTGAGCAGATAAAACAGCTGCAGAGGTGGGTGCACCGGTGCACGCTTTTGTTTCAGGCTGTTGGAGGTGCATCACGCTGCAGGGCTGATTCAGTTTCATTCGTTCATACGAGTTTTCACACAAATAGTACAGTCTGTAGGTCAAATCTCAGAGTATCTGTAAAAAATCTGGAAAGTTTAAGCATCAGATTTTATGATTACCATAACTTTGACCACAAGGTGGCGCCATCAGAAGAATCACAGCTGCTGGAAGTTGCAGCCTACTCTGATGTAAATGTTGAACTTTTTTTTTTTAATCTTAAATCTCTTATTTCTACTGTTGAGGTTTATAATTTATATATTAATAGTTTATTTTTTAATATTAGTAACAGTTGAGAAATCGTGAAGCATTTTTCTGAGCTGCTTTTGTTGCCAATGTAGAGTTAGATATTAACGAATGTTTCAGAATCTAAAAACGCATCATTTAATTTTGACAGTCTGTTTCTTTTCTTTCGTTTCAGTGAGATCCAGACTCTGAAAAAGTCCGTCTCTGCCCCGCCTCCCGCCAATCTGGACCTGGGCTTACAGAACTCATCCCACCCCTCCTCCTCCTCCTCTACTACAAATTCTTGCTCCACTAATCCTCCTCCTGTGGTATGTGTGTTATGTTAAAGCATGAAAGAAGTGTTATAAAACCAGAGGTAGTCTTTGCTGAGATGATTTTTGACCGTAGCTGCAGAGTTTAACTCATCCTGGCTGCACATTCTGTTTACGTCCTCAGCCTCCTGCAGATAACGGCCAGTATTTAGATATCCGAGGGGTCTCTGAAGCTGAAAACAATCTGGCCTCCGCCTCTGCTCAGAACACATCGCAGCACCGCCAACAGTCCTGCAGCAAAGTCACAAGTCAGTCACGAGTCCAGTTCGATCAACCAAACAGGTGAGCGGACATTCAGTCCTGCAGGAAACAAAAGATCTGAACGTAGTAGCAAAACAGTGGTACCAGTTTACACCTGTCGGGTCACTTTGTGTAACTGGAAAGTGATAAATACACACAAAAATTAGATTCAATAAGTGAAATATTTTAAGATTCTATGGATTTTGGTCAACATGGGGGAGGCCAGTGTTGAAATGTAAGACAATAAAATATGCACATTTTAATTAGTCCGTACTAAATTTATTGAAATCGTTCACCTGACCGATGACTACAGCAATAATGCACATTTCAGTGTTGTTACTACATAAAACCATTAGGTGGTGGTATTCGTTTGACTTTGTAAGATGCATTTAAAACGGGTAATAACGTGGATGACCTCTTGTTTGAGTAATGTTCTCACGTTTGCTTTGTATCCAGAGATTTTAAAATGCTTCATGTAATTCTGTATTTAGTGTTTCAGTTACAGACTCATCTATATATCCTTTATATATCTATATATAAAGGTTGATTGATATCCAGCAATTTTCAGTCAGGTCATCTGGACAGTTTCTTTTTTTTTTGTGTGCTGAAACGTTTCACCTTCCATCCAGAAGGCTTCATCAGTCAAGGAAACACACAACACAAAACTGATTCTTCCCCAAACAGCTTACTCCAAAGTGGAACAAACCAGTTATGTTGGTGCTAAGATGGTATCTTTGGCACGCCCCCTCCTCCGGTGCCGGCCCTCTCTCTCGTTGACAGTCATGTCAAACTGGTTCAAAACCAGCAAAGTCCATGCTCAATAATCCAGATATACAATCCAACAATTGTTGGATTGTA